TGGCCCCGCGGCTGCTGCGCCGCCGGTACTGGGGTCACTGCACCCGCCGGTCAGCGTTTTGCTCCTGTGTTCAACCGGAGCGCAGAAAAAGCGGGGAGCGGCTGCTGGGACCACGAGTCGGGCAGGGCGGCCCCAGGTATCAGCCCTCGGCAGGGGTGGGAGGGAAGCACTCTGTCATCTGAGTTCTGCGGACACACGAGCTCCATCCATTTCCTCCGCCCCGCGCCCAGGGTGATGGGATCAGCACCCACCGCCCTGGTCCCTGTCATCCTGAGAGCCCCGAGCCTCACGGGTGGGCTGGGAACAGCGTGGGGACCGGAGTCTGAGGAGCCAGAAGTGAGAGCTGGGCACGAGGTGTACGTGGGAACATCTCGGCCACCGGGGATGGAACAGTCACTGGAGAGGCAAGGATGAGCACTGGCTGTGGAGTAATGGGCTGTAGGGTGCAGGGAATGGATGTATGGCACGGGGAAGGGGATGTAGTGTGCAGGGAATGGGATGTAGGGTGCAAAGAATGGAGTGTGAGGAATAGGATGCAGGGGATGGGTTGCACAATTCAGAGGAAAGGCCACAGGTGCAGGTAATGGGATTAGGGTGCAGGGAATGGGATGCCAGAATCATGGAAAAGGCCACAGGCTGCAAGGAATGGGATGTAAGATGTAGGGAATGGATGCAGGGTGCAGGGGTTGGGAAAAAGGTCACAGGTGCAGGGTAGGGATTGCAGGGTCCAAGAAATGGGATGTGGGATGCAAGGAATGGGATGTAGGGTTCACAGAAAAGGCCACAAGTGCAGGGAATGGGATGCAGAGTGCAGAACAGGGGATGCAGGCTGCAAGGAATGAGATATAGGGTGCAAGGAATGGGATGTAAGAGGTAGGGAATGGATGCAGGGTACAGGGGACAGGATGCAGGTATTGGGGAAAAGGCCACAAGTGCAGGGAATGGGATGCAGCGTGCAGGGCAGGCATTTCAGGGTGCAAGGAAAGGGGTGCAGATTGCCAGGGAAGGGAAATAGGAGGTGCCGAGGTCAGAGCAGGTGAGTGCAGGCTCCCTGGGCCCCGCAGGAGCTGTTCTGGCCGGGAAGGTGGCTCCTGGCAGAGCGCAGCTCGGCCTTGGCATTGCCGGGCGCTGTGCCGAG